AAGGGCAGCCGTGGGGAAGAAAAAAAATGCAACCTCACTTCTGAGGTAGAATCGACAGGACTTTATGACTGACAATATAGGGATTAAAAAGCTGATAAGACACAAAAGTTGTTTATCTTGGGTAGAGATGTCAGTACACTTGGGTAGAAGCACTATTCTTTCTACACAGGATCTTGTTCTTACTTCTTTTTGCCCACCACAAAGGGGATGCAGGAGGAAGCATCTCCTCAGCTCAGTTCCACAGCGAACACTTTTACTTCTGCAAGACTATCCGCCTGGCCTAACTGGCCCCCTACCCCAGCCTCTAGGAAGGGAACACTATGTCATTTCCAATTCTGGATATTCCTTCCCACGTCCTAGCCGGGGGAATCGACTCCCGCACCTACTGGACAGGCTAGCCCTGCTTAAACCCGCCCCGCACCTCTGCCCCAATTTCCACTCAGGTCATCCCTTCCACGCTGGCCAATTTACACTTCGGGCTCCTCTCCCACCCTCCACCGAGCTCCGCCTCAGGCTTGCAGTGAGTCCGCCCGGCAGGCTCTTCCACACAGGGTTTCCCCGCGCTATGTTCGGACAGGTCCCCTTCCCCGCCCAGAGCGCACATGGGCCCTGAGCCCATCCGCTCTGCCGCTTCACTCACGCGCCACAGGATGTCCCGCGACGCGCCCGCGCCAAGGCCACTCGCAGCGGTGGCCATGGAGATGGCGGGCCCTACTCTCCAGCGCGCCGGAGGCAGTGTGCCCGCCCGCCACCGCGGTTCAAAGGCAGGAAAGCCCCAGAAGGACCCCGTCGGGGCTGTCTGAAAAGCTGCCTGAGCACAGCGCGCACCAGGCCAAAACCCGTCCCTTCTAGGTTTTATCTGGACAGGCTCGACCAGCCGGAACTGCCGCATATTTACGCCCCACAAAGGGGGCTGTGTCTGCAGGAACTGTCCTCTTGTATCCAAAAGGTCCCTCCTAAACAAGGACCAGAGGGGAGCCAGGAGCAAGGGGCGGGGTCGCTGCATGCTGGGAACTGTAGTATCGGCAGGCCCCGAGGACCTAGGAAAGGCGTTGCATTCTGGGACACGAAATTCCAAAGCAGGGTATGCTGGGAGTCGAAGTCATCCCCCGCGATGCCTCAAAGTGTGCTGGGAATCGTAGTCTTTTATAAAGTCGTTAAAGGAACAGGCTTGATTGATTGGAAATCTAAACTTTTTTAAAAAATCTGGCAACTGGGTGAGTGGCGTACCCCTGTAATCCCAGTACTTAGGAGGCTGAGGCAGGACTGCAGCGAGTTTGAGGCCAGTCTGAGCTACACAGTGAGACCATATTCTATAAAAAAAAAAAAAAGCCCTTACTTCTCCCTATAACTATCAAACGCCTAAAAGCGATGTCAAAGATATTGTGGCTCTCTCTACAAATACTCCATAATTTTGCTGAAATCTTTAAAAAAATATTAGGGGTTATGTTAAGAAGGTTGCATTTGCTTTCATAAAATCTGGTTTTTAGGTCCAGTTCAACCACTTGCTAAGTGGAATATTTTGACCTCTGAGCCTCATTTCCTCATCTGTAAAATGAGGATAAAATAGCAGTGCACAGTAGCACTTGTTTTCCAGTTCTCAGGAGGCTGAGGCAGGAGGATTGCAAGTTCCATGTCTGACCCTCTCTCAAAATAAAAATGTTCAAAAATAGGCTGGGATGTAGCTAAGTGGTAGAGTGCCCCAGGGTTTGATCCCCAGTGGGGCAGAGGTAGAGGATAAAATAAAGAGAACAGCTGTTGATGTTGTGAGGATGTAAATAATATGCTGCTTTAAACAGTCACTGATTCTTGGCCAAAAAGCGAGAAAGCTTTTTAGCCAACTCAAGTCTCCTCGATGAAGCCTGCTCTGATTTTCAGTCTCAGTGAAATCCCAAGATGAGTCCTTCTAACACCTTTGTATACTCAATTACATGACACAGTCAACATTCAATACTGCAAGTTGGCAAAACAGGGAGAACCTGCTGTAGAAAGACTCAGTCTTCTTGCAAGTTTGACAGAAGGGCCAGAAAATGGGCCAAAACCCAAAGACCTTAAGAGAAAGTAAGTATTATTAACACACTAGCATAGGATATGTTATAAATACAGAACTGTCAATTTTATGTTTCTCTGTAACTGTGATCATTTTTGAGACTATTTTAATTTTAATTTTGACTTTTTTTTTTTTTTTTTTTTTTTGTTTTTTTTTTTTTTTTTTTTGGTACTGGGACCCTTGAGCTTGTGAGGCAGGCGGCAGCACCACTGAGCTAAATCAATCCCCGGCCCACTGACAGATTATTTTTTGATGAAAGTGAATCATATTTTAATAAATTGGTGGCAATCCCTCTCTGAAAAAAAACCATTCCATACTGCCAAAGACAGAGGGACAGACTCCATGATTAACTGGCTCCAAAGAAAGTCAAAGGCTAGTGGGGATTTGAGATCACATATAGAGCTCTGTAATGTTTGATAAAGTGACTTCTTAATTCTTTCCTCCATGCGGCTGCCTGGATGTGTTGGTTGGAGCACTAGCACCATACTGGATCACAGGAAGAAGAAAGTCACTCTGTTGTCAAATAGCTTCTTTAGAAATGGCCTGCCAATTAAAAGTATTCCAGGTCCTGGCTTCCAACAAAGCACTGGATAAGGCAAGCTAAAAATGGTGCCCGAAGTTTATTTGAAATGTGAGGGGTAGAAGGGTAACGGGAAAACGCTGTGCAGAAGCACACTTGGGGTGAACAGAACAAGGAAAGGAAAGAAGCAAAAATAAAAGTGCACACTGTCTACACCCAGAGTGGGCTACTGTGAAGAGGAGTAATCACAATAGTGAGCTCCTTGTGGCATCTGTGTACTTATATGTTGTCTACATCTCATGGGAGCCCTCGAGAAGTTTGAACGAATGGTCCTGGGAATTATTTGGCTCTGTCCTAGGATCTTGAAATTGACAGGACCCACTTATTTCCCCAGCTTTGCCCCACCCTACTCCTATATTAACACTGCAGAAAAATTAAGCATTGAGCTTCAAGGAGACTTGATTTTGAGCAACTATACTAGTCCTAGGCTACCTGTCTTTACCTCCTGACTTAATACACAAAAGAACAATTCTTTATTGTTTAAACTATCTTTATCTTTATAGCACTTAATCATATATATATATATACATATATATATATATATGTATATATATATATATTGGGGGGGGTTGAGATAAAGTCTCACTATGTAGTTGAGACTGACCTGACCTGGAACTATGTAGCCCAGGCTGTTCTCGAACTCACAACAATCCTCCTGCCTCAGCCTCCCAAATGCAGGGATTACAGGTGTGCACCACCACGCCCGGCTAGTTGTCAGTACTTTCAAGTGAGAAGAAATTACATTTTGGTAAAATGAGATAACAACCCTTTCATCATCAGGTGGAATTACTCCAATTCATGCAATAAAAGACTTTTTTTTTTTTTTTTGTACCAAGGATCAAACTCAGAACCTTGTGCTTGTGTGGCAGGCATGGTGCCACGGCTTTCTTCCCAAATACGATGCTATGCCAACTAATGAAATCAAACTGAAAACAGTCAAAGTACCATTCATTAACTTTTATAACAGTATGGGCTCCATGATGTAGTAGTTATCTAAAACCCATTCTCCTTACCTTCCCTACTAACTGTAATATGGTCCATTCAGGTAGCAGTGCGTCCAGGTAAAGAGCATTTTCAGCTTCCTTTGCAGCTATGGGTAAACACTTGACACAGTGCTCTCTAGTAAGATCTAAGCAGAATACTGGGCAGGGCTTGGAGGAAGCCCATTAAAAGGTAGGTGAGGGCCGGGGATTTAGCTCAGTGATGCCGTGCCTGCCTTGCAAATACAAGGTCCTGAGTTCAATCCCCGGTACAAACAAACAAAAAAGACCTCACAGAAAAGGCAGCTGGCCTGCCTGTTTTGCTCTTTTCTTGCTGCCTGTCAATAGCTAAGCTGGACTGAGGAGAGCTGCCAAATGTGAGAGTAAGGTGAAAATGGAACTAAGCCAAGCTTTTAATCCCTTGCTGCGATTACACAGGCAAGACTAAAGTGGAGAAGGTATCAGATCCCTCAATGTTCCATTTTTCCCCATGGAACAATGTGAGACAAGGGTCAAGGGGGTTAGTGTAGATGGAGGTTGTTTCACTGCAAAGGGATCCCTAAGTAAAAGGCTTCTGCCAGTTAAAAACCCAGGGCCTACTCAGAAAGAGACGGGGAAGGGCTAAGAGTGGAAAAGTCCTGAATACTGAGAGTGGAGAAAAATATCTTCAAAGATCTACTTCCTCCTGCCCCCAAGAAGTTGGTCTCTGTGGACCCAAGGGAGGCCGTGCAAGGAAAGAAGGGGTCTGGGCCAGCACCCCAGAGAATCACAAGAGCTTGGAGGCCAGAGGGCAGTGCACAGGAGGGAGCCCACTCTGGGCAACCACAGCGCTCAGGCTTTGCACATAGTATGAAGCAGGTGGCCTGTCAGGCAGAGCCACTGTTGGGCCTGAAAGATCATACATGGGTTGTAGGCCTGGAGCCAAGCTCTGCACTCAATGCCCGTGCTTTGGGACCTCACGATGACAAACTCATGGTAAGGCCTGCTGAGCGGAAGACAGAATGAAGTCACTGGATACCATGGTACCATGGAGAAGCCATACTAATCCCATTCATTCTCTGAACCTCTGTTCGCCCAGGGACAATAAAACTGCTGATTTGGTTAAGCCACTGGTTTCTTCCTTTAATGTTCTATCTGGACAGGAAGTTTCATGACCTTGAAGAAGTGTTGTGTATCATATAAAATCTGTGTGTCAAAATGGGTTGCAATGGGTCCAGGGATTTAGCTCAGTGGTGCCTACCATCTGCCTTGCAAGCGCAAGGTCAAAGCTCAATCTCCTATACCAAAAAAAAAAAAAAAAAAAAAAAAAAAAAA